ATCACATTTCAAAGGAAAATTCAACTTAAGTAGACTTTGAGGGTTGAATTCTTGGTCAAGTGTGTGAGAAGATTAAACTGATTCATTCAGGCAGGTTAGAAAGGGACAGGACATCACCTCTGCCCCGTTAGTACATGAAAATATTGAATGACATTTTATTAACAGATAATGCCAGTTTGTTTTCTTTTCCATGTGATTATAGGTGGAAGATTTTTAAATTGTGTCTTTTAGGTTGAAAAACGTAAAACTGAGTTTTGCAGGAATTACCCTTTAAAGACACTAAAATCGTACATATGTCATTTGGACAAAAAAATAACTGAAGAAAATATAATATCTTAAGTGTCAGAATAAGATCCTATGCAGTGCCAGTTGGAAAAAAACATAAGCAGTGTTTGATCACAAATGATTGCACAACAGATGTTAATATCAATATATCATGCCTGGCACCTACAGAAAATAAGAGGTAGAGCTACATACAGGTATAATACATCTACAGTATTATCTCCCTACAACAGGAAAATGACCGCCGAATGGATATAGACCACAGAAAACATTTAGCACAAAGGGGGGAAGTAAAAAGTAGAAGCCATGAGTAAGATTCAAAACATCAGAGAGTTTAAATAAAATAAATATATGTAAAAAAAAAACAAGGAGAAAGGAAAGAAAAGAAAGATTTGGAAACAAGTAGAAGTTCCAGTCTTTGTGGGGTTAAAACAAACATTGTATGCTGTTGTTACGAATCTGCAGCCTTAGATGGCAGCTGGATAAATAATATATGTATATAATATGCCCTTAAATACAAAATGAATGGCTGCGCCTGACTGTGCATAGATGACCCCTCGTAGCCCTCTTGTTCACTGCAAATATAAAAAGGGAGGATTTCACGTGCATGTCGACAACTTCGATATGTTTAAATCTCAAAACTCCACCGGTTACGAGTCAGAACCTTCAAGAAGTATTAGAAATAACTCCTGGAGGAAAGAAAACTGAACTATTAGGAGGGAGGCCAGTCATGTTCCACGTTCTTTGGAAATAAATGGATTAAAGAAAAAGAGCACTGCAGTGCCTCTGGAAATGTACACAATCATATAAAAATTCATGAGTATGATATGAATCCATCTAACCTACAATATCCTGCACCTCTTTGATGATTATACATGTTTAGCCAGACGCTTAATAAATTATTAGCGTACACATTAATAAGATATTCATGTCCTATAAAAACTGCATACACATGACTTTGATTAGCCCTTTTGTTTTTCGGGGACTCACGCGTACAAGGAACAGTCAAATGGCCCTCATTAAAATTCAGGACCAGTTTTAAGAAGCACGCTTTCATTCCGTTTGTATTTGGTTCTAAAGGGGACGTTCGGTTCTGCTGGGTTCTTTGGACAAAATTCATTCACAGATCAGTTTCAGAGCCCCTCTTCCAGAAGAAGCCGTTATCCTCAGAGTCGCGGCCTATTTGAATCTGCGGCAAACCTTTCGTGTACGACCCTCTTTCAAGACTGGAAAGGAAAGAAAGTGAGAGATGAGCATTAAACGTGATGCATGGAATCACAAAGTGTGAATTACTCATTTTTTATTTCCCTGTTGGGGGAAAATACGAGGATGTGGCCTGGTACTCACTTACTCAGCCACTGTGGGAGACTCGAAGTAATGCTCAGCATGGCGATTGCGTGTTAAGGAAAGTCTGGGATTCATCTCCTGAGGGGGGGGAAGAGAGAGAGAGAGAAAAATAAAAATGACATTTTCAGAAACATACATCACAAACACTGAAATTTTAAAGGAAAAAAAAAAAGGCAAGCACCAACAAAGCTGCTTATAAGCTTTTAATTTTGATAAACCTATTGGCATTTCAAGCTTGGTGGTTAGAGCAGCATTGAGTTCATTTAAAAAGATGTTAAAGTCATTTAGTGCATGCAGGAAAGACTGTTAGAGGTCGAGCAGCGCTTGATGCTACAGAAACGCAAAAACTGGCTAATACTCACTATCCAAAGATTTATCCCCCAACATGGGCTCCTTTTCCATCAAATCCATAGAGATTTTTATACTGGGGACATTTTCATGGTAGGGGTAGTCAGACTGTGGGAGGAGGGAGGAACATGAACACATTTGGATTTATTTTAAAAGGTGAGGATCTACAGAGGATGTAGACGATCACATGACAACACTGGACATATGAAAAGGTCATATGTACTGGTATTAATTTTAATCTACACATTTAAAATATCAAGGTTTACTTACAAAGTCAGCTTCACTGTCAATGCTTCCCTTCTTCTTGTTTTTCTTCTTCTTCTCATCCTCCTTCTTTTTCTTGTCCTTCTCTGGAATGACGTCGTCAAGGTAGCTGAGGTCATGCTGGGAGAACACGTAGTCCATGGCCTTGCGCACGGCAACCAACGCCAAGATCTAAAAAAATGAATTAATGGATAAAACGGGGAATATTACAATTAGCCTTCGTGTCCTGATTTTGAGCACCACAAGTATTTTTGTCCGTCCACCAGTGACTGCGGCAGTTTCTCACCATGACCGGGAAGATGATGGCGGCCACGGTAGACTTGAGTATCCAGAGGAGAGCCAGACACAGGCCCTGGATGAAGGTGAAGAGGTGGATGCGTCTCTGGGGGACGTGTCGCAGGTAGATCAGGTCCGGCTGGTGCTTGGCTGGCATCAGGACCAGCAGCAGACGGTCCATGAACTGATACAGACAGACGGGTTCAGAGCTTGTACACAGTGCAGACGGACGGCCAATAATATTTGTGTAGTTTATATAAAAAAACATTTTTGTTCCTGGTTGTGGAAATGATGAAAGTACAGTTATTACTTTACAACTAGTAAAGTTTGTAATTGAATATAATTTGTTAAATAACTTGCTCAACACTGGTTAGCAGATACTGGAAGGTCAGACTCACCTGGACACCGTTGAGTGACGCCACACCCATGTAGAGGAACACACCGTAGAGCACAGGCATGGGAATGAACTGAAAGACAGAGCACAGTTTTAAAAAAGGTGTGTTAATGTCATGTGGATAACCTCAACAATGAAGTGGAAAACATGGCAATTGTTTGTCTCTTTCAGAATTAGAAACAGTCCAGCACGAGCAGCAGAATGATCTTTCACAGTCCCACATTACAGCAGGTGGGAAGAAAGTGTAGAAAAGAAACTGATGCATAATCAATAGTCACGTTGCATCTATGTCAAAGACAATGTGATAAACTGGCAATAAATTCGCACTGAAAGCACAATATTGTAAATGCCCACAAGGGGGAGCCCCAGCTCCACCAACCTCCACTGTGACTTCACATTTTTGATTTGGCCTCAGTGACGGAATGAAAACTCAAGAAGACCACACTCAGCTGCAATCACAGTTTAGGTCGCTGATGAACGTGCTTATTTCACATCGCATTACTTCTACTGTGGGACTCGCTAATCGGATGAATAGAAGATTTGAAATTATTGTAAATTTAAGAGAGGGGACAGCAGTTTGTCCTAAGAGAGGAGGACAGTAATCCGCATTTCCAGAGAAGAATTAAGAAGCCGGAGCGTTACCTTGAGGATGGGGGCCATGAAGACGGAGAGTCCTGTGAGGAGGAACACGAAGATCCCCGTGACTCTTTGCTCCCTGGATTGAAGGAGGGAAAGAGGAAAAGAACAAGATTAGTCAATAACTCACAAACTTCAGACAATAGATCTGAATCTGGACTGAAAAACAGCCGAATAACATGGAGCATGTTTCTAAAGTGGCAGCTTAGTCTATAGAACCAACAGCTAAAACACACAGTACATTAACCTGGTGCACTGAGTGACGGCCTTCTTTAAAAATGTATATACTATATATTTATATTAACTTGTAATTGACAAGAATTATTCATATCTCAGTTCATCTATCAGACAATTGTCATGTAACCACACATTTTTCCCCGACCAACACGTCAAATTTTACATTTCAATGTTTTTACTATTCAGTAAGTCTATTCTTAAAACAATCGATGTACAAATACATGTAAGTTTGCATGAGACATTACATAGATCTGTAGTTTGACTTCTTTTCTAACATTTCCTCTATTTTTGGGCATTCCTCTGTTTCTTTTCTGATCGATAAAGTAAGACCGCTCATATCTTCCTTTCTTCTCCAGTGCAGTTTTATAAATATGAATTATTATATTTAATTTTGTGTTAACTTTCTTTTTTATTTTGTTTAATTAGTAATATTAGTAATATAATAATAAGGTCATGATTATACTTCTCATTATCATCATAAATCCTTTTTGTTTTTTTTACTTTTGCATAAAGATCAACATTCTGTGCAGATTTTATACAGCAGTCACACACAGTCTGTCCCCCAGCCACTTGCTCAAGGGATCAGTTATCAATTTAAACCTGGGAATCCAAAATTAATGCAATAAACTACCTGGCACAGTTAACTCTGGGAAAAGAAAAGGAGTGTAAAGATCCATTATATTCAATAAGAAGCCATTTTCCTGGCAGCTGCGTGAACTCACCTGACACCCAGGAATTTCGGCTGCTCCCCGGGGGCCGACGTCTGGGTCTCCATTTTCAGAGAGTCGATATGGGCGATGGAGATGACCGTGGCCGCCACGTACCACGGCAGACCCATGAAAGAGCAGATGATCATCAGGATGGCCACCCAGAACAGGTCCAAGTGATAGCCTGCCCCTTTCTGAGAGGAGACACAAGGTTAAGACGGCAGAGAAGAAGAATGTGCTTCATCAGAATTAAACCACAGACACCATAATCCCTGAGGTGTCTGAGGAGTCCTCAGTATTTCAGGACATTTATTTACACAATATGCTGTAGGATATTGTTAAGAGGAAAGATTTGACTATTTTAGGCCACAACGGCACATGGAATGCAGAGATTTAGATTTTTTTCCAATAAGAATTCTCTGCAAAATATTCCAGGTGTCGTGGGAAAGCATTTTTAGAGCGCAGGAGGACACAAAGAGTGGATTTAAACTTTATATTCAAACTTTTATTTTACAAATCAGCCATTTAAAAGAAGAAGGAGATGGACTTGCACCGGGTCGCCGGGTTAATCCAAGAATGAAACTTTGAGGTGGTGCACCAACCTTGAGTTTGTGCTCTTTCCTGTTGACGATCACCGCAGTGATCTGCTGATCCATGAATATCAGAATGGTGACCAGCAGAGCGGGGAGCGCGGCTGCCAGGTACACCCACCAGGGGTTCCCTCCAAAAGGAGGAATAAACCAGCCCCTCTGTGGATTTGTGGGCTGAAAGACAAATAATAAAAACAGGAGTGCACTTTAATATTTCTGCACAAACGCAGTCCGGAACTTTTAGATGTGGAAAACTGGATATGTGGACAGAGTCTGGGACGACTGGTGCATCATTACACGACAGAAAGCTGTGAACTAAGACTCTGGTCAAACAAAGCTGGCTCTGTGCTTGTACTACAACACCGTCTGTGTTCTCACATCAACAATAATCAGGTTGCCATTTGATGCAGGTGCCCGCTCCTCTACCCTATCATTCCCTTTCTCTGTGTCGGGGGGGGGCAGCTGAGGAACATTTGAGCTCAGCAACCTCTGAGAACGACTTTGTCTTAGTTTCAGGTAATATGTATCGCTTACTGGGCGATGCACTGGGAAAGCTTTATCCTGAGGTTTCAGAGAATTAAAGGGGGCTTTCTTGCAGGAACGTGCAGAATTATAGGAAACTCACATCTCAACTCATTCAGTGCAATGATTTCAAGTACATACCTTGAATTCACTTGGCACTATGAGCTTCGGAGTGTCCACACCGACAAACGCGTCCACGCCGCAGAAGAGGAGAATGGTCAAGATGATCGCAAAGTCACTGATGAGCTTCCTCACCTGGAAGGAGAGAAACATTCACAGCAGGTTTTATTTTTTACATTGTCGTAGAAGGAACAACTGGCTGCATTGAAATGTTCACCTCTGCCAAGGAGGGTATGTTTTCACCCCTGGTGGTTTGTAAGCAAAATTCTGCACAAACTACTTCATGGATTTCAACGAAACACGGTGGAAGAATGTAGTTTGGGTCGGGAAAGAACCCATCAAATTTGTGTGTGGATCTAGGATTTAATTTTGAAATCACTTTCTTTAAAGGCCAAGTTCGTTTCATCTAAATTGTATGAATTGTAGTTTTCTTTACCCCAGAAAAGGCCCTTTATATTTAAATACTTTATATCGAGGGGACCCTCTCTACGGAGGCCGCCATGTTTTTTACATTAGTCCAGACTGGACAAACTAAACACCTTTTGAGTTTTTATGAAAACTGAAGGTTTCCCACTGTTTAGAAGGGGAGGGTGAGGTGAGGGGTGTTCAGCTGCAACATAAAACTTCAACAATAGATATCACAAAATTCTACACACTGTACCTTTAACACTGAAGCTGATTTCTTTGTGAATAATTCATATTTCGGGAACTGATATCTATGAGTGGGTGACATTTGTTGCAGCTTGATTGAATTTAAGGGGACTGCTGGGCCTTGGCAGAGGTATGAACCCTGCTGAGTTCCACTGTAGCTCTTCATGCGTTTGACAAAAGTCCTACGCACAGCTAAACTGCAGTATTTTTAGGTAAACACTGATTCACCTCGCTGACTGTGCACATTATCACTGCACGTGCAGTCAGTGCAAATATAGCTGGTAAAGGAGAAGCAGTTGTTCAGCAGTTGGTGAATAACCAATTGTAACAGGTTTTAAACAAGACTGAAGAATATGAGGGACAAAAATTTACAGAAGTAGAAANCTAATGCTAAAGCAGAACTGGATGCAACTGGTTAAATTTATATCACTTACTAATTGCATGGCAAGAAACTAGGCCTGCGCCACATCGATTAATGAAACGCAGCTACTAGCTAAAATGTGTTGTGTTAGTTGTGTCATCTGATAGTCATTAATTCCAAACAGTATGAGGACACATTGTGTGAAGAAAAATTATATAAATGATGGGTTTTCATGACCTGCAGCCAAGCAGAGCTTGTTTCTGAATGCACATGCACAAAATATCAATAAAACATGAAGGTTTTACCAGTTTCAGCCTCTCTTTCACTATCCCAGCTCAAAACATGCACGTATAAAGCTGCTTTTAACTGTTGACTCTGATGCTTTTGTCTTTGCTATTATTTAAATTATCATTGTATTGTTTTGACCTATTGCCGTTGTAAATTTGGTAGTTTTTGTTCCTCAGTCTTTTATTGTTTTGTTCTTTTCTCGTGCATATGAAGTTTTATATGTAAGTTCAGTTGCATCGTTTTACACTATTTTGCATATTAGAATTTTGATCGATCACTCCCTGCCTCTCCTGGCTCATCGCTTTGTTTCTTGGTCTGATAACACCACCAACTGCTGATCAGTGGAAAAGTGGGAGACTGTCAGAGGGAAAGTGTGTTGCATGCTCATGAGTATGCATGCACATCCTCTCCTACGTGCATGAGATACAAACAATTAGGGGATCCAGCCATTAAAGCTCTACTCCACAGCACCGCTTGTGGTAAAACCAACCTCCCAGCCTGATGAAAGAAATATGCATTGTATTTATTTATTTCAAGCTGCAGCCTTGACAAGATTGTCAAGCAAAGCCAATTCAATAACTTGGGAGAGAGTCACAACGAGTGGACGAGGCTGGACTGTCGCCACAACTGTCTTGTTCCAAGTATCAGGATACTCGTGAACCACAGACAAAGCTGAAGGAACCTGGACAAACAATGGGTGCACAAATTGAGTTACAGAGGTTGGGCCTTTTGTGATAACATAAAACTAACTAAAAAAAATAATGCAACCTACAAAAATGTAATCTCATCTTACTTTCTTACCTTTCCCCATATCAAGTTTATATCAAACTAATTTGGTTGGTTTAAAACATTCCCATCAGCCTCAGCTGTACTAAGATGATAAACACTGTAAACATTATTATTATTGTTTGGTGATTTACCCAAAGGTGTGTTTACTCATTTGAGTTCAACTGTAGTTTATGTGCCTCTGTGGAGCTTCCTGCCTTAAACACAGTTAACAGTGTGAAATCTGACCTTCCCACATTGACACCTGAGCTTGGCGACTAAACTGAGAACAGCTTGTTAAATGTGCACGGTGAACACCGCAAACATCTGTAACTGTGTCATCGGCCGCGAGGTTCACTGTGCGGCCAGAGTTAGAAAAAAACATATCCAGTGATTAGTAAGTGGCTCACTGTGGTGGGGAAGAAGCGGCTCGTCTTGAACTTCTTCAGGCCCATGGAGCAGGTGTAGGTCCCGAAGAACAAGATGAAGGACATGAGGGTGATGTCAGGCACGTAGCCACAGGCCTCTCCGACCAACTGCCCGTTGTACTTCACACACTGCTCCCTGGTCAGAGACGCCCAGGTGGCATTCACTGACTGCAAACACAAAATGTTCTTTTCACCAACAAGAAACAATATCTGGAGAAAACGCCACAGTTTTGTTTGAATTCTTGCCACGAAATGTGACAAAAACAAGGACACTACATACCAGATCCGAACTGTTTGTCCAGGCACTGACATCAAGGATTTCTGATGAGTTGCCTGGTTAAAGAGATACAATATCTAATCACCGAAATGAACGCAACAACCTCCGTTACTTGCAATATCACATTTGACATTTTTTAATCCGTGTCGACATCAAGCTTGAAACAGTTCTGCCGATGCATTTGCGACACAGAAACTGATAGGGCTGTTGAGAAAGTAAACAGTGGTATCTACTGGCTGATACACTTGAGTATCATTTGTTATCTCCACTGTAAACACAGAAAAAAATAAGTGGAAAGCTTTGTTTGACATGCACTGGTAATATCACTGCCCAACGGGACAAAACCAAATACGACTGTTCAGCTTTATGTCTGGTGTAGTTGTCAACATGAGTGTAGGTGGCAGAGCGGTGGAAGGCTACGTACCAGGCACGCATCGGCAGTCGTAGAGCGTGATGGAGTTGGAGTTGAACTCAGAGTTGATGGGGTTGTGGTGGGCCAGCTTTATCATCTTTTTGAACGCGTCGTAGATGAAGATGAAGCTGATGAGCGCGGAGAAGCCCTCCTCGGTGAAACGCGTGAAGTACTGCACCAGGAAGCTGGCGTCCGTGGCGACCAGCACCAGACAGAATAGGGCCGACCAAAGGCCAATCCACAACCGGAACTCAAGGTAGTCAAAGCTGTTATCTCTGTGGAAAAAGATTTCCTATTTGAGAACAATTGCATTCCTACACCAATTTGCATAATTTCCAAGAAATGTCTAATCCCTCAAAGAATTCACTGTCCCTCCTAACCAACCTGAATTCTGTCAAGTTTAGGCACTTTGTGCATTTTTTGAAAAGGTTTGTAAATCTTACATACGGCTCCTGGGGCCTTTAAAATACAACAGTATTGCCTTTGAGGCTATGACTTGCAGCCAGAGTTGTTGTATGTAGTTCACATGTCTGCAAAGGTGCATGAGATTAACCTGTATTAGAGGAAAACGATTTTACACCCTGCTTTTGCCAAATGCCACTTTGATGTGAGGACGGGGCACAGAGAATGGAGACAAAAAAAATGGTAAGTAAAGTTTTATGTGCGTGTGAATTACACCGGAGCTACTCAAACATGAGGGTGGATAATGACGATGTTTATTGCCTGCTTAATGAGAACAGGAAGTGGTGAGGAAAAGCACTGGCTCCGTGTGTGTGTGGGTGCACAACTCGCAGTCAAAAGCAGAGCCGCTCTGTCACAAAAAGGCTTTTGGCACACACGGAACACATCCACCTGTGGAGTATACATGTCCGCCAGCTGTAGTCGGACTCACAGCTGCCACTGACTCAGCAGCAGCCGCCACCGACGTGAAGCATGGAAACATTTGCAGAGACATGGACACCGTGACATTCTTCACTCACGGTGTAAAATGAAATGAGGGTGAATTATGAATGAGGGAACCTAAGACTCTCTTTGGGAGACAAAGTGGAGGGAGACGTCAGTGTTTAAAAGCCTTTAATACTAATCGGATACTTAGAACTTGTATGTGTTTAACCTGCACAACTAAAGCAAAATATGTGCAAATATATGCAGTGATAGAGTTTTTCATTGTTACTTTTATTACAGGCGGTAATGATTTTATTGAATGTACTTAAATCTAGTTATAAAATAGGATCTGTGTGGACAGGAGACAGAAATTCACAATCAGCAACTTTACCTGGAACAATATGTTCCTGCCTGGGATTTATACAAAGCTAAAAAAGTTATGAAGGGATATTCTTTATTTAAACAACCCTTAAAGCTCAAGCTGTCAGTTGTGACTGTGAATTATCCATTTATAGTCATTGTGTTTCTGCTTCATATTCAGGAGGACAGGATTTCTGTCACCTATAAATATCTCCCAGGCTACTTTTCTTTTTAAAGTGACCGGGTCTGATCAGTAACTACTCACTTGCTGAAGTTGAAGAGAAGCCTCTCGAAGACGAGCACCGGGCCCGTGCTGCTAAGGATGGTCAGGGGCTGACCGGCCAGAAGACAGAACACCGCTCCCGTCAGCGCCGTGCCCAGGAAACTTTCCAGCACTCCCTGCAACACACACAAAACAAAGTGGAGAGTTTACACACATGCTTAGACTTTGATAGAGCACATTCATAGGGTGAGCACGACGCTGAAGCTCAACTCATGTTTACCCTTCAGGCAATTTAAGTTTTTGATCGCACCTAATTTGACCTCCTGCAGTTTACTAATTTGCTTTAAATTAAAATGAATTGACTGTATTTATTCTCAAGGCTTTTACTTTTTTTTATTTATGTTTTCTTGGCATCTTTGGATGTTTTGTTGATTTCCTGTTCCCTGCTGTGTACCTGAGGTCTCAACCTCCAAAGTAAAGGCTGAATATTAACTACCAGAGATGCAAAAAGAAAACCTGCATCAGTTTTGAGCATATGTCTTCCAACACACCTTCTTGAGCCTTTTAAACTTAAACATGATTACTCTTGCTGGCTCAGCTGGAACCTTTTGTTTTGTCCACACACATCATGCAGCTGCTCTTCTGGCTCATCAGGAAAGGTCTGTTTGATTTCTAGTCATTATCTTTTCTGCATACGTGTATGTGTGTATTTTACAAGTTGCATACATACAGTCCATAAATGAGTCATTGAAGTACTACAGGCTCTGCTTCTAGGACCCGTGTTGAGAGAGGGGTTGGGGCAGGGATTCCCTCGGTTGTTCTCCTGCATCACTCCCCTCTTCCACTCCGGGTGGGGGAGGAGGGGGAGTCACTGGAAACGCAGAGCTATGACGAGGCTGCAGTGGCTAAGTAATCTGGATCTGTGGTTATTTACAGCCCGGGCAAATCCCCCGAGGGCTGGCGCTCCGCAGGTCTGACAGGACGCAGCTCTTTGGCAGGGGCAGAGAGGCCGACGGGAGCACACCTTAGTCACTGGACAAGTGACAGCTATCAGGGGCACAGGCAAGCAGTGCACGCCATCGTCATACCACAACTGTACGACTCTTCCATATGCTGTGCTGTCAACAGCAGGTACAGCAGATGGATGCAGTATGAGCCTTTGAGCTGCAAATTAGCAGCTTATCAGCTGAAGTGACTCGAAAACACAGAGCTATGATGGAGGAGAAAATAAATCACACATCTGAAAGTGATTTACTTTATCTAGACACAGCAAGGAAAGAAAGAAACCACAGGGATGGGATGTTACAAAGTACATTTACTTCATTACTGTACTTTTCACCTTTCCTACATGACATATAACTGTAAATATATGTTTTCTACTCCAGTGCTGTTTCATGTTTGTGTGAATCCAATGAATATGAATCTGATCCAATCAGAGCGAGTTCGTAACATTAGACCCCGCCTCCTATAATGAGAGAAATCGCTCCTGCAGCAGCAGAGCCACTGCTGCCCGACTCTAATGATGTCATAGACCAATGCATTAGAGAACAGGCTGCACTAAACAAGTACTTTAAATACTTAATAATAAAAAAAGTACTTATTTTTACCCAAGTAAAAAAGTTAAGGTGGCACTTTTACTTGAGTACATTTGTGTCTATTTATTTGTACTTTACTTAAATAAAATGCTGAGTACCACTGTTTATTTTAGTACAAGCTATTTCAGGTTACCTTATGTGCAATAGAGACTTGATATGGACACTCTGGAGACCAATTTGAGCCACAAGAGAAACAGTAGATCTAGAAGTATCAGTAGATCTATCCAGGCACAATTATCACGAAAGAGTCAGAGCCACCTGAGCACAAACTGAATTCATCTGGTTTCATCTGGATTCAGGTCAAAATTTAGGTGAGAGTTCATCTTTAAGGGTTCAAGTTTTATCATGTGGTATAACACAACCTGGAAGATAATCTGGTGCACGTACAAACACATTATGCACCGTTTTCTTTCAGATTCCGGTTGAACAAAATGGGTGCAATGTGCTTCGAGGTACATTTTCTCTCCTTTAGTGGGCACGTCAAAGGTGTTGCCTGTTCAGCAGCGACATGTTTGTCTCAAGTATTTTATGTTATTTAATACAAAAAGATAAAGGTTTTTTAATATTTGCTTATTTTATGGTTTAATTTCCACAAACTCATCTTTTCAAGCATTATAATGTCAGCCTTGTTGTTTATATAATTAGCTTCATATTAATAATTATGCTCCTCTTTCTGTCAGCAGTTGACTTTTTTTCCAAAAAGACTGCCAAGAATGGCCACAGCTGCACGATATATAGCAGCAGGGAGTTCGACACACCTCAGTTTAAATAAATGTTTTGCTATGTTTTATCCAGGCTGAATGCAGCCCTCGTTCACTGCAAACAGGAAAGCCTCACTCGATGTAGATATAATAAAACGCTACCATAAGGAGTGAAAGGATGGGTTACCTGCATGCTGTCTGTAGCATCTCCAAGTAAGCCTCCAAATGTGATCGCATTGGTAACAGTGCCCAGATAGATGAACAGGATGGCAGACAGAGACTGGATGTGTAGTGCATCACAGAAGTCACTGGCAAAAAATGGTAGCTTCCGCTTGATGTCCAGGACAAGACCTCCGCAGAACCTGAAAGACGGGATCATTAGAGCTTGGAGAGTTTCCAAAGAAAGAAGAAAGCTTTCTTTGTTCATGTGTCGAACATTTCCTCATCAGAAACTTACTGAAAGGTCAAAGAGTCTGAGACGAAAATATTCTCCCGGACAATGATTTTTACTTTACACTTGACATTGCCAGTAATCACACCCTGTAAGGTCATAATCACGATTTCAATCTTAAACTGAATTACTTTCTAGTTCGCTGAAGCTCCTCTCCGACCTGGTGACCTCCTCCCCCTCCATGTCCCGCATCATGGGGAGCGTCACCGTTCATCTGAGGTGGCTCTAATCCGGCGTACATGTTCTTCCTTAGAACAGAAAAAGACAAACTGTCAATAAGGTCGAGAAAATACATCCAGTATTGTTTTGTCTATCAGGCACCTTTAAAAAAAATGTGTCGTCAAATCACTTTTCCCCATCATACAACTGATAAACATGATTTTACAGAGACATGTCACACAGGACATAACATCTATGGTTTTTAGTTTTAGAAGAAAACCTAAGCCCATTTACAATTATGCTTATTTTACATAACTGATGTGTGATGTGAGCACTGTCCTGTTCTTAGTGACACATACTACACCTACTGTTATATTTGGTGTAACTATGCTCAATCTACATGTTTATGTCCCCCTGATATAATTTCTCTCTAATCTTAAGAATGTCTTACATGTACTATAACTTCATTTTATGTGTGAGGTGTTTAGGAAACATCTCATAAATGAATTTGAATTCATAAACATGAAAGAGGGCACTAATTTGTGTGCACTCAAGGACTTTGGTCTGGTTTTACCACCATGGCAGCTCATGTTTGCTTATGATGACAACTTTTAGGTAAATATTTCATGTTTAATGTTTGTAAGTGAGCCAGTCTGTTTAATTTGTGTCTCATTTCTACTACTGCTGCTCTTACTAAAACGCTAGAGTTTGCTTAACTAGAAGGAAAACTGTTTTTGCATTTAAATGTAAGTGTCATGTGTGGCTGCTCATCAACAGAAGATACCATCACTGGTGTGGAGCGACTTTCCATGCAATGTGATTTTCATGCTGCATGTTTCATGCAACACACTGAATAGATTTGTATGCAGTGACTTCATTCATTTGGATTAGGGCAGACCTCTTGTCTGAGGAGGGAAGAGACTTGGGCGGCTCTATCCTGATGTCAGGGTCCCACTCGCCGGGGGGCAGGACGATGACCTCATCCAGGAACTCCTCGATACCAGCCAGCAAGTCCTGCCTGTCCTTCGCTTTGTAGGCGATGTCATGGAACACCTGCCGACAAACAAACATGACCACCCTATTAGCAATCGCCTAATCAATAATGTAACATGTGCTTAATTATTCATCCAGGGCTTTGGAGAGAAAAACAAAAACAAAATGCACAATTACACTGGAGACTAGTGCCCACAAGGGCTGGACACAGAGTGCAGCACAGTCCATCATTTTCTACACTCTTTCACAATCAACCTAAATTATGTGTCATCCTCCATGTGTGTCCTGGGACCACAAGAACAGAGGGGTGCAGTACTACCCCCGACAGCATTGCTCAAAAACACAAACATTTCATACACTCATGACGCAACTGTCACAAGAGAGCCGAGGGGCTAAAGTTTAACTTGAGGAAATCCTGGAAACCACTTCCTATCCTGCTGTGTTGACATATGAGATACACTCGGAAGGAGCTGAAGCCTGTGGAAGTTGGCAAGCCAGGTGCTACAGGGATTAAGAACATTATGAGCTGCCTGTTGACACTCATGACAACACAGCAAGATTTAGTCACTACAAAGAAGTGAAGAAAACACTGGCAGCTATAACAGGCCTATAACAGAAAGATGATAAACACCAACATTGTTAGGCATAATGTCTTTATGCTGCTACCACCAAAACACATTTGTGAACCTGAAGTTCAACCCGCAGCTTTAACAGTTAAGCTTTGGGCCAGGCCAACTGCTGTGATGATTAACACAGCGATATCCACAGAGCTGAGATTTGGCAAGAGGACAAGTAGGAAGTGTGGTGGGTCAGCCCAGAGCAGCTCTGATGAGATGGAGGCAATGGCAAAAAATATATATTGATTATCAGCTGATAATGGCCATCAGTCAACAACACTTTGATCCACACAGACATGATTCAACAACTATTAGATGGATTCCCAGTGATTTGGTTTCCCTAGAGATTTAATCTATCATTCAATCTAACTACCTCGACTGTTTTTCCAGAACCTGTACCACTGATGAGGTTAACTTTTGAAATTGTGGACGTGTTACTACGGTGTTAGAATGTGTGAAGTGCCACGAATGCGTTTATATGAGATGGTTTTAATTGCCAACAATGGCTAGCTGGCCATCGTAAACATTGTTGCGTACACGCTAACAGAGTTAATTTGCATTATTTACACTGGGGAGAAAGAAAAGTATCAGTGTCCTTTCTATACATGCAACTTCGAAATGTTAATGAAGTGGTTTATTGTCTGAAAGATTAGCTATGTCAGGATGCCCATTAATCCCTTGTCCCATTAATCCAGGCTTAATTAGTCAATCAGAGCCTAAAGACGCATCAACAGTGAGATAAAGAGAACTGTTCCTTTGGTCCTCTATATATCCACATTTCACAATTTCTTAATGCAAGTACAGATACCACTAAAACCAGACCAATCCCTCTGCTCAAGAGTGAATTTAAACAAGAGAGAAAGTGAAGAGAAAAATTACAATAACCATGACGTACCTCATCTGACATCAGGGTCGCGATGGCTCTTCCAATCTCATGATAAGACTTTGCTTTACCTTTGGGGCCCAGCAGCACAAAGAGAAATCTAACAAGGAGGAAATAAGATGTTGGGGAACATTACATCAAAATAAGCCGGTGACCGTTTATGTGTAACTTCAACCTCAGTGATGGTAACAGTGTTACATTCATACCTTGTAGGTACAGGGACCTCGGTAAGAGCCCCCAGCATGACGGCCTGCTGCAGACGAACAAATGCCACGAAGGGGGTTTCCAGGAAATCAACTTCTCCAACGAGCACGTTTGATGCCTCTGCATCGCGGGGCAGCTTTTTCATGAATTTGTTCTTCAACTGTCACGACAGGGAGAGGAGGACAGAGAGGGGGTGAATGAAAAGGTCAGACAAATTACTAAAAAGGACGGGGCCAGTGATGTGTTATGAGATACAGATTTAAAAAGGAGAAGGACATACAGACTGAAACGTCTCTCTCTGTCACATGCAGTATGATTAATGGATGACATATCAAATAAGTGCAGTAATTAAAATGTTGCTGTACCCAGGCAGGGAGTCCACTCCCTTTCCTACAATTATTTGCTGAACAGCAGCTTGACTTTATGCCACCGGATAAACATTTTTTACTGGTCGGGTATGAAACTGCATCTATAGTCACGTGTATAATCCACACTGTGCTTATTTTAGATTCTATAAAAGACACATAAGCTCTAGATGACAGAAAAATACCTCACTTGCAAGATGACAAATTCGTGCTTTCATAGTTGCTGCAGTGTTAATGCCACTTGTTACAATTTAACTGCTTCAGCGATGTTTCATCTGCGTGCCGTGTGTCTCTCGACCACACAGCCAGTTAACCAAACCATGAGTCACAGAGAGAAACTGTATGTGCTGATGATAGAAACTCGCATGACAAAGACAGGAGACAGTGAGCTTTTGTTGCACAGTGCAGGGAGAGAGCCAGGGGTCTTATCTGCCAGTATGTGAGGCTCACAAGCTCGGCCACACACACACACACAGCCCAACACATGACCTTGCATAGTGCTGCTTTGTGAATGGAACTGGCACTAGGTCGCACATCATTTCTAGAGAGACACACACAAACGCATTACCTGATCCTTCTCTGGTTTGTCAGAGAAGTCGCTCAGGCTGTTGGAGGTGAGGTTGCGATGGGCGGTCGTTGGGCTACCTGCAGAGAGATAAAGACACTGTTGGGATCAAAGAGGCCGCAGGCAAGACTGCAGAGCTTCAACTGAGACGCACGGCGGCCAAGGGAGAAGATGAGGCCAAGAAAAGAAAGGCGTCGGGGAAAGTACACGAAGAGAGCCAGAAACATCAGGACCAAGCTAAATGTGGCAGAGCTTAAGCTTTAGGACTAATGCCAGATGGTCATTCATTCAAGCACTGCAGGGAGAGGAGAGCTGGGATACATGGTGTTCTTAGGTACGAGTCAGCAGAAACATGCTTAGGCAACTATTGGCATATTTAACCTTACTTTGAGTGAGGCTATACATCATCTATGTGTTTACACCGAGAAACACACATCAAGCTTTTTACACATGACAGCCTGTAGGAGAGTTTAATTAAATGACGTTACAACTTGATGAATTAACTTTAAGAGGTATTTTCACATCAGAAATCAATCCCCCCACCAACTGACAGGGCTGGTTGGCGATGCACACACAGAACTGTTTGTTCCTAGTCATTTACACACATTCTTAATTCAATATAACTATATATGTCTATTTATGATATGAATCTAACAGCTAATTCAAATATATCGACATTTTTATACAGTTGTAATGTTAAAGCAAAAGATTATCTGAGAACAACTTGTTAAGGTTTGATACTTTTGTGCCTCGATAGCAACAAGTAATTTGCTTGTCTAATACCAGTTTATGTGCACTACACCCTTGATTGTTTTCAGAGATGCTCACAGATGTTTACTTATACGACATCTTTGTGGCCTGTGCGACTAAACTATCAACCTCTGTAGCACCAGCGCTATATGTAAAAAAGAAGTTAGCATACAGCCCTGGAGGGTGTTCCAAATAGACTGCTTTTCATACAGCGCCACCTCACTTACAGAGGTATCCCATGCTGGAGCTCCTCATGACCTCACATGGTTCCTCTGAGTCTTGTGGGTTTAAACAAGGCACAGGTTGCTCAGGGGGGTTGCGTGCTATTACGCCCCAGATGCAGGAAGTGAGAGGCAGCGTACAGACCCAGAGAGAAGGAAGGAAAGGAGAGAAAAGGAGAAGGAACACCAGGTTGAGAGGGTGGAAAAAAAGGAAAAGAGGTTGTATTAGAAAAACAGAAGTTAGTATAAGAGTTTGTACAAACAAGTGAGAAGACAGAAACAAAACAAGTGAAAAGGATTGAGTTTTATTACCATTCTCCTGGTTGGAGAACAGTCTGCTTGCACTGGAAACACTCTTTCCAATGTCTGCAAGAGAGCGCAAGTTGGACTTCTTGGTCTGGTGGCGGTGCTTCCGAAGCAGTGTGTACATGACCTTCTCCCTCAGGTCCGACCTCAGTTGACCGTTCTCAATCTGGCTGTCGGTGATCATCTCTGTTAGGGCGACAGATTGGAACCAGATGAAAACTTTGGAATGTTTGCTGGTGTTTCGGGTGTTCTTGGGCACATGCAACGCCGCTTACCGACAACCTGTGGCAGTGTGGAGGCTTCCAGGTCCAGCATGATCGTGCCCTTCTCGATGCACGTTTTGAGTTCCATCAAGCTGTGTAAGGACAGCGTGGCCACGTGAGGCTTACTCCAGCGCTCGCCTCCCTTCTCCACCTTCTCCTCAAACTTGATCCATCTGGACAGAGGAGGAAAGATATTTAGAGAGCTGGACATTTTTTTAACCACTGTTGGGCCTTGCCAATAAATGTGGCATTTCAGCAAAAAGCCCATATACGAGAGTTTTTAAAATCTTTTTTGTTCTCTCCTCTCTCGGGCAAGTTCCTGAAAGGCCACAGCAAAATATAAATACGTGTACATAATAGTGGCTTTTATAAGTTTATGAACAAATACGGGCTGTGAACAAAAGGAGACTAGACGGGTTCACTTTTCTTTACCAAAACAACCCCACTGTGTTTTGAATTGGACACAGTTCATGGGAGTTCATGGGGCATAGGGGATGCAGGACAGAGTAGAAATAAAAAATAAATCTCTAGACTTCGGGAAATGCATATCATGCTGGAACGTAAATAGCATTACATGGCCCGTGGATCACACACAAGGTTCAATCGAGAAACAACGACACTTTTTACGGACACGGAAAGCTTAATATCCAAGTTAAGATTCAGGACAAGGACTCGTTTTATTAATAATGATGCCTCACATCCCACCAGTACAAAGAGGCATTCTCCTGAGGCCTGGGGATGGGGTTTCCTCTGAGGATAGAATATCCCATTGGCGATGGTCGACATGCCTGTGATCAGCGATCTTAGTGGGAGAGGAGCCTGGTCATGGAGGAACTGTCGACCTCAAGGAGTTCATTTACTTCCCTTTTTTTATGTAACTCACTCTTTCACTATCCAAATGAAGAATAACAATGCTGACATCTGGAAAAAATTACGTTTACTTTCATCTGTGTGAAAATATAGAGCTCTTTCTTCTTCAACTACATTATTATGAATATGTATTGGACTTTCACAAGCAACAGGACTCTACCAATTTAAAAGCATAACATTGCCATGGAAAACCACCTAAAAAACTGAAAATGTATGACTCTGAACCAGAGGCGTCATCATTTTTACTACATACATCTCTCTTCAGAACCTGGCACCTACACAAAGCACCTCAACCGCCCACAGTCGAAGATTCAGATGTTTTATGCTGGTAGCATCTGACGTAGCCTCAAGGCTTCCGCTGGTCTCAAGCAGAGAGGAGTAGAAGCCTGCAGACTACCTCCACCCTCTCAGGTTTGTCATTTTCAGACAGGTAGTCTTCAGACATAAACCACACTGACTCAAGTACTATGACTTAAGGCTATTCATCAGAATTTGCTCTGTCTGGAGCTTTGTACATTTTTTCCCCCTTCACATACAAAACAAAGTAGTGCAGCCAAAAAACTGTAACCTGACTTTGATGCATGAAACTGGTTATTGCCCTTTAAGATAAGATTATTTGAACAAAAGAAACAGTGCACTTATTTAACAGGGAATAGAAACCAATGTGATATGATTAAAATGCTCAACTTCCTCAGTTGCAATCCTAAATATATCTCAATTTGTTTACAGCTTCTGACGTTGTGTCACATAATCAGAAGCCATAATTTGCTGCCCAAATGTAATGTGCTCTAGAGCCAACTGTAACATTGAGGCTTGTTCTGGCCATGTGGGAGTTTCCGCAGTTTCCTGGACCCACAGAGCAGGTACTACAGATCTCAGTCAGATAAGAACAGACTGAGTGTTCACTGGAGCACGGCCTATTTCCCTACACATACAAAACGTGATTATTCATAAAGGGATTGTGTTCCGTTGACTGCACAGGGATTGTGAGGCGGGACCTTTTTTCGACTACACAGCCCAAGGCTGTTCATTTTAAAAATAAAGAGGGGGTGGTATAGGTTTGCATGTCTGGTTTGAAGGACACGGGACTCACCTGGCCGTCTCTTTCCACTCCATCTCCTGCCCGTCCACGGACAGCAGCTCGTCCAGCTCAGTGAAGAGCTGAGGTGGTGGGGGGCCATCGTCCTCCTCCCCCAGGATAAACCTTATCCTCTCAGCTGGAGAAACTGCAAGGAGGAAGAGGCATGTTAGGATGGAACACATCAATCCTGTTGAACTTCATATAAGCTCAGCTCTTGTTACCAGGGGCACACAGGAGACTGCATTGACACCACAGTCTGAACCCCCCCTAAGAACTTTGTAACAGGTTTGGTTGAAAACATCGAGTTGGTGGTATTAGCCTGGGACAGTGGTGGAGGTCTCAACTTTACAACTTCACTATTTATGCACTATTATTTATTCTGTTATCAAAATTATACACAAAATAGATTGAACATTGGAATGACATGTTTCTGGTTAAAGCGTATTGTTGTATATAGCAGACGACTCCCCTGCAGGACATTACCTGGAAGTCAGTGAATATTTCGGCAGTTGGTTTTGAAGAGATGATGACAGCAACAGTAATTTAACCATCTAGCAAAACAGAGGTCCACGTCAGCCTTTCCAACTGCGGACATGTTGCACGAACCCTCACATTCGTCTGCAAATTAAAAAGGTGTCGCTGTGTTTTGGACAAACAGTGATGTAAATGTATAAAGGCAATGCAGGCATCTTTACATGTTTGTTTTGGCCATAGTGATCTACAAAGGAGGTAATAACAGCCTCTATACTCAGTATGTCAGACGTTTGTCAACCAGTTTGAACCCCAGCAGGACTGCTGGTATTTAACCGAGAGGGGAGGAATTTTACAACAGCAGGAAAAAGCTTTTCTCGGAATATTCCCTTTTCACTTCCTCATGTGAGGACTTGCAAAGATCTTTGGCAGTGGACTGACATGAGTATTTATCACTGATAAATATTCATCTTCCTTTTCAGAATCTATAGACGTATAGAGGTGTGCCAGTGGTCACCATGAGTTTCAGTTACAAAACAAAAGGGAAAACCCTGATGTTTTGTTTTCTATGGAAATGGGTTTCCATTGTGAGAAGAACTACTTACAGGTCTAGGAAAGTTGTGCAACAGTGCAGTGATGACAAAGTGGAACACTAAGAGACAAGAGGCTATTTATGCAGCGTTCTCTTCATATACTTTACCAGTCAGGATTCTACAGGCCAATACCTAAACAGCGTCTGTAACCTTTTAATCCCGACAGAGCTTAACTTAGAATGCTCGTTTTTAAAATAGTCCCGTTGGAACAGTTCTACGTAGCGAGAAAATCTAACAACTAAGCTACACAAAGGTCAATGTCTTTAAAACACTGGAAACAGCTTTAGGATGAGGGAGATGTGGCTACACACAAACATCAGAAACAGTCAACCTCGATCGCCCCCCCCCCCGCCCCATTTTTGCGCCCTTTGTCCGGCCGACTAGCAGAACCTGACTTTTCAAGCAACGTTCCTTGACGCCACACAGTGTACACAACACCCCTCGCCACTTAAGCCCCATGACTAGTGTCATCAATGAAAACCTGGCCTTTGTTGCAGTTACACATAAACTTTAAAGTGGGCAGCTCCATGGGGTTTGACAGAATCAACAGGATTATGAACATTTAGATGGAGTGCTAAACAGCGGAGTGGAGTGCTCCGTGCGCTCCGCCTGCCAGTGTCTGTGTTTAGAATCTGGGTTTCTGACGTCTGGAACATGTCAGCCTAACCCACACATCAGATTCTCTGGCCGTCGCCTTGTGCTGCATCTTTACAGTATGCAATGCTACACCACACAACCCCACCTCCTCTGAACGTGCCCATACATGTAGGGAACTAAACATAACTTCAGAGCTAAGGACAGATGCAGCTCCAGAATCCCATAATGCACTTCGATTATTCCCTTCGTGGAAGCAAGGGGTTCCACTGTGGACAGTAGACGAGTTCACAAGATGCAACGTGTCCTCTTATTAAATAAAAGGGCAAAACGGTAATGTGGAAAACTTTAGTGCTCAACAGGAGGAAATAACCAGTTGCAACTCGGGCCTCAAAATACAACAGGGTTTGTCCTCTCTTTCAACCTCACACCACTGTTTACAGTTCAGATCTTCTATGGAGATACAGCAGGAGGAGGCCGTGTGTGTGTGTGTGTGTGTGTGTGTGTGTGTGTGTGTACCAGAGGTCAGTTTAAAACCTGCTCCTCTGTTTAGTTTGGTTCCACGTCTGTCCCACCAGCTGTTGATGTACAGTCTGATATGAAAACTATGGATGAACAACCATCATCTCTGTTTACATTCACACAAATGTCACCATGTTTGGACCATACATACACAAAATGCTACAGGGTAAAGTAAGGCCAGGAATCTACAGCCAGTAAGGCTTTTGAATTCATGAAGCAATCCACCACTGTGTTGAGTAGTTATATCGCTATTAATGCTCAGCTGATGCAGGAAATGGTTCTGAAGACAATATCAAATACATAATTAATCACGACTGATATATCCACCAATCGGTTACTAAATTAGAGATATGAAACTACTACACAAGGAATATTCAATAAAAAAGGAAACTGTAACCAAACTCTGCATGACTCATCAGATCGGCCCCGTGACATCTAGATAGAGATTAATGTGATCGAGACTCTTATCAGATCATGGTACCTTTGTATGACTAAGCTCGCAGGCTGGTCCACACCCGAGCATGAGACGTAACAAGGGGGATTACAGCGTCAGAGGTACAGCGTGAAGGGATTAGTCAAGTGCACGTCTGTGGCAGTGAGTCTGCGAACTGACAGCTTGATGTGACGCCGACGTGATGAAGACAGGTGCAGTCGTACATGGGTAAATAAACAAGGTAATGCAGTTGAAACTGGGGACAATTTTACATTATTTTCATATTTGATTTCCGTTTTCAATACCCGAGTCATAATTTCTTGAGCATTACAGAGCCAAAACGTAAACTGATAATGTTGAGCCACATGGTCCGAATTACTGGGGAGGCCTCCCTTACACAGCCTTTAGGGGAAGTAGTAAATCTTTTTCTAAATCAGAGGCCATAAAAGGGGCCACAACTTACACAGCGGGGGGCCAACATCCATACACAACTCCTGATTCAGATTTAAGTAATTCATTGTTTACTGTTAGTTTCATTAGGAAAAAAGTTCCTCGTTTAAGCACATTTTGTACTTCAAGCAGCTCAGAAAATTCAAACAAATGTGTTTTTTTAAAGGAAGACTGACAAGACAGGGGTACTTTAGGGGCCAATTAGCTGGGGCCAGTGCCCCCCTGGATCCACCCCTGCTACAAGAAGAACTCTAAATCATCATATTTTTTGTTTTGGTCACAGACTTTAATTTTCTGTTTTTAAAAATAAATCAATTTATTGAGTGTGTAATTAATGAGGTTGTGCATCACCATATTCTAATGTGCGTCATGTTACTGGGAAAGCTAGGATGCAAATATGTCAGCATCTCTACATATTGGACCATTTCAAATATCACTGGAAATACGAGTTCAGTGACACCTTACAATTCATTTGCATGAGTTCAGTGTGATCCTACAGCAGCCTCCTGGTAAAGTACGTGCTGTGGCAGTCATTGTCCACACACGCCCTGATGGAGCCGGAGGTAAATCCCCATCCTGCCTTCCGCTCATTCCCATCTTCAACTCCATTTTGATACCATAATGGTTACCTCCACCGAGGATGAGCTCGGGTGTTAATAACCCCCCCATTGTGCCAATTTTCAGGCTCTGCCATTTTCAAGGTGAATTCCACTATTCTGTTAATTGTATGTCTTCTAAATAGCTTTTAACCAGACTGAAATGTTATAAAAAAAAATACCCAAGAGGATTATGTGATGCTAAAGACCATCATCAAGGTTACAGAATGGAGAGCCCCACACAATTAAATACACAGATTGGTTTCTTAACACTTTCCCACTTGTTTACACTTTAAAAACATCTTTTCGTGTACATCCAGGAGACATATGGGCTAAACTGACCTATATCTGAAGACTCTCTCGGAATTATATTTTCTCCTTCTCTAGAAAATGACCACAGGATTAAAGGTTCTTCCACGCCTCTTTTCTAAGCTTCAGTATAAGGAGAGACATCTGGTGTGTTTTCTCTAACAGCAGGATGAAGACCCACAGGGACTGACAACAATCTTAATGTGCATTTTGCATCTCTGACATTTATTCAGATCCTGCGTTGTCACTCAAATGAACCCAATTCAGTGGATTATTCCACAAAATGAATTACGCTTCATCAGCAGTGAGGTTGTTATATTAGGTTTCCTTGCAGTTCGGCAACATCCTCATGTATTTGTGTGCGACATCTTGAATGGCTGTTTTGCTCCCTCTTCCCATCTACCTGGTTTTTAGCGCCTTTCCCACAAATCCCTCAAAGAAGTGTTAATCATCAAGGTGCCGGATAATACCCCTCTTCTATTTACTTTACACACTATAAACCCAATCCAGTGTCATTTTCAGATTAGTGCTCAACATGTTCCCATTACATCGCTCCATTAATTCTATTGAGTGTAGGTTTGTGCCAGACGATTTCCTTTTTCCCTAGCTTTCTTGGCTGTCGCCCCTCCCTGGCCTCCCTGCTCTGAATCACCACCTCCCAAGCACTGACGTCTTGTAGGCTGTGATTTGTAGAGTGCTACTTGATCTCAACCGGCATCTCAGGAGATTTATCTATTCATAATGTGGCTTCCATAAATCGCACTCTGCACGACGGAAGAGCTTGCTTATTTAACTCACTGAGAGGTTTGAGGATGTTGGTGGTGGGGTCGTCTGCGTTCTCTCCATCCGACTTGTATCCCTCCGTGCTCTGCTCCACTCGTTCCCGCTTCTCCTTGTGGCTCGACTTGCGTCTGTGTCGCCTTCTCCGGTGGTAGCTCTTGGGAACATGCACGCCGATGTACACAGTGTGGTGACCTGCCACAACACGGGGAATTAAACGTCAGATTACACTCATAGTGAAAAGGAAATCTCAATCAAACCTGAACTGCATCGCCGCTAGAAGGACAAAAACAATGAGGGACTGGTTGAGCCGCTGTGATTCAGTATTAAATGTTTAGATAGTTTGTTGTCAGTCAAACTGCAAAATGCCAACGACTTCCTACAGTGCAGCTTATACAGGAAATGATGACTTAAATTTTCCAGGAAGTAATTAGAGACACAGAAACCTCTCCCTGCTGGGATTGACCGACCACGCTGGTGTTGAGGCAACCTTGGATTTTTCCATTTATCCATGCATTCCACACACATGTCTTCTGGGCAGTTTTGGGGGGCTTTTGTTCTAAAATCCATTCCACTACAGATTACATGTTATTTGGGGTGGTATTCCATAAAGTTTTATTTAATTTGCTATTGTTAAACCCCTTCAAGGCACTGACTCTCAGAGACAGATCACTGCACCACTTAGTCAGGGGTGAAGTGACTAAAAAGGTGAATTCTGATGACTTTAAAAAGTAATCCCTTTATGTAATATATTGATTTTGAGACTGGAACTATGTTAATTTAAATACAAATTTAAGAAATGGGTTGTTTGCCTGTTTATAAAATTGGATGCAGTGTTTTAATAGTAGGTGTATTGTACAGTTAGTTTGGATGGTATGAATAATGCACATGAATTATATTAAGATGTAATTCTATGAGATAAGTCATTTTTATCAGGTTGCCTTTTAAAACTGTCTATAGGGAAAACAGTGGAAATTAGCCTGTACAGTTAATTTCAGTCCATTTACAGTGCTTCCTCTGTTGATTAATGAGCCCTGTCCCACTAATAAATAAATAAACAAACTCAGATTTAATCTAATAATTTAATTTTCTCACATTTTGTTGTTGCATGTATTCCAACACTGCTTTGTGGGTATTTATGACATCTCTCACACGTCCCTGTGGTGAGCCTCGCTTCCTCTACTAAACTAAGATTCAGCCGGCGTGCAAATGACGATGCACATTCCCATGCAGCAGAGCAAAGCTCTTTGCAACTGCTACTGAGAACACAAACGCGCGCGCACACACACACACACACACGAGCGCTGCCAAAAAACCTCTGACGTGGTTTTCTTTGTGTGCAACCTTAAGTGTTCATTTGTGAAATATGTGGCCGTCTCACTAAATCCATGTGGGCGTCTCCAGATCAATTGTTTTTCAGCTTTAGCACTGGACAGGATTAGAACACTTGAAAACACATCTTCCTGCACAGAATTGTTAAGCTAAACTGGACATTATGCATCTCAAATAATTACATATAGTGTTGATGAATAAGCATCAAAGGGGCAGACAAAGGGCAAAATATATTAACGCACAGGGATGAGTTAAAGGATAATGTTACCTTCTACTTCCTCTTCATCACAGACATGTTTGACAAAGGAAGCCCCTGTGTCCAACACTGCTTCATCCTCCATTCTGCAAGAAAAAAAAGGAGAAAAAACATTTAAATAAGAGAAGCATGGAATAAGTTTACAAATAGTCCAAGAAATCTATTTGTTTCCACTAATTATATTAT